TATTGCGTTCGATTTCTCGGGGCATCTCATCTTAGGAGCACAATTTTTTGATTTTGTGATTTGCTCACTTTTTACATTTCTTTAATTTAAAAAAAAAATGAAATTTAAATTAAATTTTATATAACATTATCTTAAAACTTATTAAATTCCCTTCAAAATGACCTATTGTTTTTTAAAGTTTAGTCCATAAATTTCTAGCATTTATTCAAAATGAACTCGGTATCTCATAATAGGGGCCTTTCCTCTAAATATTCCGAATAATTTTTAATTCATGAACCTAATAAAAGCGTGGATGGATAAGAAAAAATTTTAAGTACATAAATACTTCAAATAGTATGGTAATATGAATTATTCAACTTTTCATATCTTAATAATATTAATACGATCATAATGGCTTTTTTAAGTAAATCAATCAAATATAGAAAAAAGCATTCAAGTCACATGCTGAGTCTTGTTGCGAAAATTTTAAAGTTATTTATTCATAATTGTAATAAATCTAGACGTTTCGATGAATTACATTATGTAATCGAACCGTTATGCCGTAAGTATCGTACTGCTCTCATTACAATTTTATATAATTAACGGAGAAATTGATGGATAATCGTGGTCAAATTATATGAAAATAACTTCCATGCAAATATTGACCACGATTGTTGCAAGAGAATAAAAAAATAATATAATATTAGCCTTTTCTTATAATATAATTGAATAATTGTCAAAAGAAGCAGAATGGAAGATGAGAAACAGAATATGTATGCAACAAAGCGGCGAGAGAATATACGAGCGAAAATTTAACAGATTACATTCTCAAGTTATTATTTCACTGTATGTTACACTGTATGTTTCTAACTATCGTAATTGTAGACGCGTTTGAAAGTTTTAAGACAATTAATTATAACGATAGGAGAATAAAGGAAATCTGATGAATTATATAAATTTTTTGTATACAATTTGATTGTATTCAAACAATATTGAAGATAATTTTGATTGAAAGATCGTCTAGATTTATTAAAATTTCTTACAAATAAACAACTTTAAAATATTTATAACAAGAACCAGCGCTGGCTTGAATGCTTTTTTCTATATTTGATTGATGACTTTTGATTAAGAAATTGGACATTTTATATAAACTTAGAAATTAAAGATTAAATTAGAAAATAAGTAATGTTTTAAACATAAGAGAACATCCAATGTTATAAGTTAATTGGTGGCCCTGAAAAGGGCCGTTTTTGTAAAAACAGTTCACTTTGAACTTGTGTACTTGGTAACTGCCTTTGTGCCTTCGCTAACAGCGTGCTTCGCTAACTCTCCGGGAAGAAGAAGCCTTACAGCAGTTTGAATCTCCCGAGATGTGATCGTCGAGCGTTTGTTGTAATGTGCCAGACGAGATGCCTCAGCTGCGATGCGTTCGAAAACATCGTTGACAAAGCTATTCATGATGCTCATAGCTTTGCTGGAGATTCCGGTGTCAGGATGGACCTGCTTCAACACCTTATAGATGTAGATTGCATAACTCTCCTTCCTCTTCCTCTTTTTCTTCTTGTCAGTTTTACTGATGTTCTTCTGAGCCTTGCCGGCCTTCTTCACTGCTTTGCCGCTAGCTTTCGGTGGCATCGTCGATCTTCTTGACGAGAGTTCTCGTTCCTCGAATACGATGTGACGTGCAGGACGCTCGAGGCTCGAATAAGCTCGAACCTCGAGAAACGCGGTATATATAGCAGAAAGTGTCGCCCGAAGCGCACCAATCACTTGCAAGCAGCGCTCGGCGGTAGCTTCGCCACACGTCATTGGTCGGCGCTCGTGTTGCTAAGCGTTACTCACATTCCGTCTTCCTTTCCCTCGTATTCTTTCGATAGTTTTCTTTCTCAATTTTCTTAATAAAGTAAACCTAATCATGTTATATGCTGAACCAGTCTTTTAATTTCACTTATTAATGTATTCTGATTATTAACATATTAGATTTGACTTTATTATTAAATAATAAGTATGTACATTTCGCCAAATGGATATTATAAAAAGAGAACAGCATCGCTATTCTCTGCGTGTTACTGATTGTAATTTAAATGTAATTTCAAATATTAACATATTAATTTAAACGGCAAATTTCAAAAAACAATATTCTCGTACAAATCATCGCACAATCGCATCGATTGATAGATGCTTTTTAATCGTAAATTTATTAGAAGTTTTCAAGCACACGCCGTTACAAGGGGGGTTTTTCAGTGAAGATACACAAAAATTTATAGTGTGATACAATAAATCATAACATTTTTGTTTTTTCAACATTAAACAAGAGCGAAATAATTTACTAAATTGTGTAAAAAGGCAATCGTCGAAAAGATTTTATGCATAATCGTTCGAGACAGACTCGGTTTGTATGCTATTAAATGGATTTGTAAATAGATATAAATTCATTCTTTTTTTTTATCCATTTTTTCATAAAACTTTCATAATATTTATCAGAATCAAGCATGCATAAATATGTATACTTTTTACATTGCATTTTAAGTGGTAGGACAATATTTTCACCGATTGCGCGTACAGAGAGTGAGAAATTAGATAAGCGTTCTGATTGGCTGATGTCGACGTGGAGGGGAGAGCCGAGTCGAAAGAGTATAAAGGCGCCTGCGAGAAAAGGTTCCGTCGTCATTCGGCAGTCTGTCTTTGTGTCAGCGAGTTCGTATCGTAGAGATTCAAGATGACTGGTCGCGGTAAGGGAGGAAAGGGATTGGGAAAAGGAGGAGCGAAGCGTCACAGGAAAGTTCTTCGCGATAACATCCAGGGTATCACTAAGCCAGCTATCCGTCGTTTAGCACGACGTGGTGGTGTCAAGCGTATTTCCGGCTTGATCTACGAAGAAACTCGAGGTGTGTTAAAGGTCTTCCTCGAGAACGTTATTCGCGATGCTGTTACTTACACTGAACACGCGAAAAGGAAGACCGTGACAGCCATGGACGTCGTATACGCCCTGAAACGTCAAGGCAGAACTCTATACGGCTTTGGTGGTTAAGCGAAGGACAGTGACTTCCACAAATCAAATCGGCCCTTTTCAGGGCCACAAATATTTCAATGTTTGAATAATTTCTATTCGCTATATAACCTAACCTAACCTGTCTTATGCATGCTTCAATAATAAATAATTTAATGTACAATGTGATCTATATATACTTAATATTGAAATATTGACATTAATCACGGCAGTTATCAAAATAAATTTTTAATATATGTTAATTGTTATTCTCATTCAATTCTTTTATATCTTATTTATTTTATTTAAACAATGGCAATTCTCTAATGGCTTCTTATCTTTAATTCGAAAAATTAAAAAACACTAAGTATATGAAAACTGCATATCCATAACTTAAATATCTCAAATTTATTCTTTTTTTTTATTCTTATAGAATAGCTATTAGTGCTGCTATAGTACTTTTAGTACTTTTACTTAGAAAATTATGTAAAAAATATTTATCGTTCTCATGTAATTCTCCGTTTAAATTTGCAACACTAATATATACATCACAATATGTATACATAATATTACGATTCACATTAATGTGTCATAAATGTATTTATGCAAAATTCGATAAAATGTACAATTGTATTGATGTAACAAAAAATGAAATGTACAATTGTATGAATACTCGAAAGATGAACTTCTAAAAGTTTTTGAGGTTAGGAGTGAACACCAAGTCAATCTATAGACAAAACTTGTTCGTGTATATAAGATGCAAAGTGTAATTTTCTTACAGCCGTAAATGCAATTATTATTATTAGAATTATGATGTAAGATAATTTTTATTTAGATATAGATTCTAAAACCAGTATCTGCACAAATAATATAACTCGAATTATCATTAATCCGCGTGCGTTTTTTTTAACTCACGAAATTTGTATTTGTTTAATGAAAACGATTGAATTTGTGAATTAAATTTAATAATAATTTTGATTATAGAATAAAATCTCAAACAGTCGTGCATGATCGTCCAAAAAAAGATATCTTGTATTTTGAACATGTTTATTGTTTATTATATCTAGGATAGTTTAATAAGGAAATAATTTTCACGTGAAACAGAAATTTTTAACATATGAAGCATTCAAAGGGCAATTCTAATTTAATCCAGAGTAAAAACTTTTGAGGTTATTTTCTTGAGGGAATTAAAATAAAAAAATTATCATTATAATGTTACTTTGCTCGTATTTACATTTGTGTTAAATAATTCTTTAAATTTTGCGTCAATATTCCAAGTTACAGATCATCGTGAATAATATTACGAGAGGTATGCGGCATGAATACACCGATCGTAAGTATTTTATAACATTAGTGTTATTTTCTCGGGCTGAACTCTAGTGTACACTTGAAATTGAAGAACTTCGAATCCGATTTTATTGAAATTATATTAAAAAAAGTTTATTAAATATATTCAATTTATATGCACTTTAATAAATAAATTATACCGAACAATTAATTCTGTTTTAAATTTTAATTACGTTTCCAACATATTACGTATAAATCAAATACAGACAGAAAACTTCTACGGATAACATTTTGATGATACACGAGGTTTGAAGAAATTAAAACGAGGTATGTGTACGTTGTGTATGTATGTGTGTGATATTTGGCGAAACGAGTTCTAGTACAGTCTAGTGCAGATAAGACTGATGCGCGATACTAAATTTTACTGATGTAAATCACTTCCAAAAAGTTCTGATTACTTAAAATACAAAAAATTAAAATAATAAATAATATCTGGAGCTGTTTTATTTTATTTATTCAAAATATTTTTAAAAATGAGTTGAAGTTAGAATATTCTTACATTAAAAGCGTTCATTATATTGTCATTTACAAAATAAATTTTTACCAACGTTTAATAGATTAATGGAATTATTAAATATGGAATTGGGATTTTTTTCAATACATAGAAAACATGTAAGCGAGAGATGATCCATCGTACAAAAAAAATTGGTGGCCCTAAAAAGGGCCGATACATATATTTTTTTAATTAAGCACGTTCTCCACGAATACGACGTGCCAGTTGGATATCCTTGGGCATGATGGTAACCCGTTTGGCGTGAATAGCGCAGAGATTGGTGTCTTCAAATAGACCAACAAGATAAGCCTCGCTAGCCTCCTGCAATGCCATAACAGCCGAGCTTTGGAAACGAAGATCAGTTTTGAAGTCTTGAGCAATTTCACGAACGAGACGCTGGAATGGTAGTTTGCGAATTAGCAGTTCAGTGCTCTTTTGGTAGCGACGAATTTCTCGAAGAGCCACAGTTCCAGGCCTATAACGATGGGGCTTCTTCACTCCACCCGTGGCAGGCGCACTCTTGCGAGCCGCTTTGGTCGCCAGTTGTTTTCGGGGAGCCTTACCTCCAGTTGACTTGCGTGCAGTCTGCTTAGTACGAGCCATTTTTTTCTGATCTGAGCGATACGACGTTCACGAACGGTCGTCAGAAGAAAAACGATCACGTTTGTTCACGCGTACTTTTATAGGGCCCCAGTGCCCCGGCTCGACAGCGATTGGTCGCTGCACTAGTGGTGGGGAGAGGTAGTATTACGCGCGCACACAAAGTTGTTTCTTTACATACATTTTTAAAGAATATTCCTCGTATAATATACATACGTACATGAGAATGTAAAAAACGCGTCATATTGCTTTTCAGCTTTATTTTATACATAATAACAACGATAAATCAATGATACATACAGATTATAGGAATTAACTAAATATATTGTAACACACGTACGGAGAGACGTGTAAAGAAAAGACGAAAAAAATTTTATGTAGTATATATTTACTTATAATATTTGTACATCTTTTTTAAATGGAATTAAAATCTCAATGAAATGTTTTCTTTAATATCAGCTTTAATATATATTACAATATTTGATACAATTAATGTTTAATATAAGATATGATTGACGTCAATTTAGATACCTTTGAAATTATAATTGTGTTTGGATATCAAATTGTGCATGAATAATAAGAGTAATTTTAATTACTTTTAATTGAAATGAATAGCGGAAAATTCTGCGAACCAATTAAATATTTAAATCTTGCATTCTAAACTTCAAAAATAAATAAATGTCACGTTGTTTAAAATATTAACGAATCTAACATTCTCTGGTAATTATATTTGGTATAAATATTGATTGTTAAATAAACTGTTTTATTAAATTTTTGTCATATTTAATCTTATTTACTTACATTAAATTTTTAACATAAAAATGTTTGCATAATTTGCAACATATACACATCATAAGTAAAGTTTTAAAATTAATAACATATTAATTAGATAACAGAAGCAAATGGATAATATTTAATGTCAAATGTTAAATGTGAAATATGAAATCATTTTCTGATAATTCTGCATAAGAGAATTTTCGATATTTTAAATTGAAAATATGGATATTTCAGTTATGATAAAATATTTTTGTTTATGCAGATTTATCTTAGATGATATATTTATTATGTACAAATATATACATGCTTTAGTTCTTTTCTTAGCTGCGTGTTTTACGTATTCATTTCAAGGAAATTCCAAAAATATCCTAAAACTACAATTAAAATAGATAACCTATCTCTAAAAAATCATGAAAAATGATTTGTATTTCAATTAAGATATATCATTTGTGTTATTGTTTGCATATTAATTCTATTTTTCGTTGTTTTAATTGATTAAATGGCAATTAGCACAATAATCTACTATAATATTTTTACAGACGATATGAAATTTCTATCACAATGCAGCACGTTACTTGTTTAGCATAAGCATAATTTCACATGCATTTTTATAGAGATTATAAAACTTGGACTAAAAATAAGTTATTGTTCTTAGAAACTGTAAGTATGCCAAAGAGTTAATATTAAATGGTCATTATAAGTATTGTTATCAGAGAAATTATGAAACTATTTTAAACATGTACTTACATGCTAACCTATAAAACAAAAATCAATGAAATATAGCT